CTGCATGCCACCTCCTGGGACGAGGACAGACCGCAGGGCTTCCCATCACCCTGCTGCCACAGTGGGTTTTCTTCCAAGCTCCTCTATGGTATCGAAGGCCTCATGCATTATCCACAAGTCTCTGAGAATTGCCCGACAGACTGCTGGGCGGGAGAGTGCCCATACCATCCTACCACTGCACAGAGAAAACAGGCCCCACCGGGCTCTACGGCAAATGTAACACAGGCCCCTGGAGGGCCTGCCTGCCCTGGAATACCTGGGGGAGAGCCTGGGCAGCCACAGGGAGCCTGGGCCAGGGGCAGGGCTGAGGAACACCGGCTGTTGGTTAGAGGACAATGGGGCAGAGACCAGCCACATGCCCACCCAGGGCACAAGTGCCCCAGGCTTTCTAGAAGCTCCAAGCCCATGAGTTGATGCCGGCTGGGGTGCCAAGAACTCTCAGATGCCATACTGTGAATCTGAGTCATACATCAGAGATGCCACTTCCTCTGCAGTCACTACAGGCAGGAAAGGAGCAGGGAGTGAGACACGGGGATTTACTCTCCTGTCACTGAAAATGCTGAGAAGACCCAAGTTCGAATCCTGCCTCTGCCACTTACTTTATGCCTGGGAACAAGAAGCTGGAGTTAATGCTGAGATTCTGCGTGTGTTAAACGTCCGCTTTGAATAACACCCACCATGAAGAGCTGCTGTGGGCATCATAGAGTTCACAGACGTGAACTATGCAAAGGATCGTCGTTATCTTGCAACACAGACCCCAAGGGCCCCTGAACTAACCCTGCCTCACCCTGTCTACAGACCAAGGAGCACGCCAGCTCTGCCCCTGGGATGGGGAACTCAGCTGTCTGCCCATGTCAACCCTCCTGCTGACACCCAGAGCATGACACATACCCCCACCCCACAGCCCAGGCTCAGGTAGCGGCTCTCTGGGGATGGTGCAGGTCCCCACTGCACATGCTGAGGTCAGACTACCTATAAAAGAGGTGCCACCAAAGGGCTTGCATATCTGGATCCTCCGAAGGTAACGGGGGGCTCCCTGCCTTTCCCCACACACCCAGCAGGTCCCCTTCTAGAAAGTGGTGTTTCATTTTTTTGGAGATGCATACTGAAATGATGTACAGATTAAAGATGATGTATGGGATTTGTTTTAAAATAATCAGGTGCAGGGCAGGAGGGGACAGAAGTAGGTGAGGTTCAGATGAGATCAGAGTGACCATTAGCTGCCACTGGGTGGCACTTGTGAAGCCAGGTGCTGGACCCGGCTGTGTGTTGCAGTATTTTCTCAAGTATTTTCACATTTTCCAAAAATATAGATCGGAGACAAGTACAGGGGACGGTCACCAGGTCTTCCCCTCCTTCCACCCCACTCCACTACTTGTACCCTAAATGGATTCGCACACCAACACCATCTTTCCAGAAGGAACAGAGACAGCTAGCCAGATGGGAAACACAGAGAGAGATTCATTAGAGTCAAAATGATACCTGAAAAAATCACAGTCGGTAGTAACATAAAGAAAATAGCAGCCACTATCTCTCTGGAACTTGCTATATGCACACTGCCGGATAAAATGGTTTTCAAGCACTACTTCTTTTTCTTTCTTAAAAGTTTCTTTCTTCCATGAGAGAGGAGAGGCACAGAAAAAGTCGAGCACCATCAATGGGGTGTTGTGATCACCCTAGCCTGTCCCAGCCAGCCTGGCTCACGGGTGCACAAGGCCATACCGGGCAGCAAACACCATTTCTTTTACTATAATAGCTAAAGCTACCAAACTCTTAGAAGAAAACTGGAGTAAATCTTTGTGGCCTTGGATGAACCAATGGTTTCTTAGATCTGATTCCAAAAGCACAAGCTCAAAAAGGAAGGGAAAATAAAAGGTCTTTCCTCACTGAGCCTCTGAGAAGACCACAGCCCTGGCTGGCATGTGGATTACAGCCTAGCATGACCCTGAAGGAGAGAACCAAGCCGGGTTATACCAAGGAGTCTGACCTACAGAAACCGCGAGATGATCGCCGTGACATTCTAAGCCGTCGCATGTGTGGTGATCTGTCAAGCAGCAAAGGAAGGCAACAGAGGGCTGGCTGACA